TTCCATGTCTTCGATGGCGTCAACAGATGTGTGGACTTGTGTTCAGCGCCCGGCAGTTGGTCTCAAGTGTTGCACCGCTTCCTCCACAGCAGTGCCGACACTCAGACGAAGACAATCATATCAGTGGACATACAGGCGATGGCACCCATGGCTGGTGTGATCCAAATCCAGGGCGACATCACTCGCGAAGAGACCGCTCGACAGATCATCGACGCGATGGACGGCTCGACCGCCGACCTCGTGGTCTGTGACGGAGCACCCGATGTGACCGGTCTTCACGACATCGACACTTACATCCAATCGGAACTACTCTTGAGTGCAATCAATATCACGACTCATATCCTGAAAATCGACGGAACTTTTGTGGCGAAGATTTTCAGAGGAAAAGACGTTTCGCTTCTTTGGTCTCAACTGAAGATATTCTTCAAAGAAGTGATAATAACTAAACCGAAGAGCAGTCGGAACTCGAGTATAGAGGCGTTCGCTGTTTGTCGGCATTACTGTCCGCCCGAAGGCTATAAACCCGTATTTTTCAACTCATATATCGACCAAAAGTGTGACCAATATTTCAAAGAACTGAACGCCGGATCCAATCGACACGTGATTCCGTTCATGTCTTGCGGCGATTTGTCTGCCTTTGATTCCGACCGCTCGTATCCATTGAATGTGAGCCACTCTTCGGCCACTGATTCAGAAAACACGTCTCAAACCCAGACTTACACTTACGTGAGTCCAACACAATCGCCAATAGATCCGCCCTATAAAGTGGCGCAAAGTCTTAAGAAGTCATCTAATCTTCAAAAGCCCTCTATTGGTGACAAAACTGATTGAATTTTTAACAAAATAAATATATTTGTATTTAAAAAGGATTTATTTAATAATTTCGATGATTGACTGGACGTGAAGAGACAGACAAGTGATGGTAAACGAAGTCATTTCGGGATCTGTGGTAATGGTCTGATGTTTTGTCGGCCATTGTTTGACTCGTGATTCTCATACTTCCTGAATGTGTTCATTCGCGTCGCCTCCACGGCCTCTATCTGTATATAACCGGTCGAATCGTATGGATAGCACTGGTTATTGTCCAACCCATCACTCAATTGGTTCCTGTCTTGCGTCACATTGAGGTGATCGTAATAGAGGTCATCTCTTGGCCGGTGATTATTGCGACCGCTTCTCAGTTGACGATTGGATTCGCTTTCGTAATGTCGCATAGATTTGCGTCTCTTATGTATGAAATAAATGACACCAATTGTGAGCAAAATTCCCAGTAATAGACCTAAAAATATATACACGAAATGTATTGCATTCAATGTATTGTCATTTGTTTGGTCCGCGTTTGAGGTGATAATCATTTGAGTTGTGGTCTGAATCTCTGGTTCGGCCGTTCCCTGAGTTGTAGTCTTTGTTTCAATCATATTGTTATTGTATTCGGGATCTAATGTGGGAACCGATTGTTTTGTTGTCAATTCAGTGGTTGTCTCCGCTGTTGTTGTTGTTGTGGTCATTGGTAGCAGACATTGAGGCAATTCTTCAGACCATTGGCCGTCCGAAAGGCACTCGCGTTTTGCCGATCCGTTAATCTTCGTGTTATTGTCGATGCATTCAAATGAGGCCACACTTCCCACCACTGCTTCACTCTTAGTCCACAACCAATTAAAAGTAACTTTTAGCTCATCTAACGGTTCGACTTTACAAGTGATGTTTGGCACACATTTGGGTAACTTCTTAAGAGACCATTCCTCATGAGAATTGCATACAATCTCCGATGTCTTGCGCGCTTGCGTTATGAAGTAGTCTTCGCACTCGTATTTGTATCTCATTGTGTTTGCGGTGTCTTTGATGGCCACAAGTTTGCCAAACGCCGGGACGTCTGGTTTGAAGCACTCGTCGTTAACCGATTCGTATAACTCAATGAATTCAAGAATCGCCGGACACGACACGAGTTCGCAGTTTCGGAATTTCTCGCTGAATGTAATCAAAATCCACGACA